TAGTGCATTTCTTTTTGTGGAATCCACTGTTTTAATCCACAAACAGAAGTACCCAGAAAAACGCTACAATACGTTAAAGAAGTTAAAAAATAAGTTCATCTCAGCTAGATTATAATGTTGTTCTGAAAAAATAAAGAAGTCTGTTCTTATTATTATTACTATTATTATTATTATAAGCAATGGTATGATAGCTCAGTAAAATGAACGGAGCGGTGAGTTGTTTGTTCTACTTCTCTAGATTAAAGCAAAAAAATCCATGAATCATTGTATACTAGGACTGAAATTCATAAACTCATAAATACGAACATCAACTAAATACATAATCTACTGTAGCTAATTTTTGTCCTTTTTTGTCATTTGCATTCTACAGTTTCAACTTAAATTTATTGGTCCATGTACAGGCGATGCCTTCTATTAGGCCTGTTTTGATTTTATATTTATTTACTCATATTGTTTGTTATCTTTGTACATTGAGTGAATAAATATTATTATTATTATTATACTTTGCGGTAAGCGGAGTCTTAGCCAAATTAAGTCCGGAATGGACCCGCATTAATAAATCACGAAAGTGGGTGCTTATTCAGAAGATACTACTCACTTATCATCACGCTTACAGGGTTTACCTTAAAAAATAAAAGATGACGTCAAGTAGGTTGAATCTGTACTTCCAAAGCAACGCCGTTATCGGTTCATAAAGGATTATCACAAACTTGACAAAAAAGCCAGTCAAACAGCTCCAAACAATTGGCCAATAGACAATCTTTTCCTGCCCTACCGGTAGTCCACCTTCGCTTCTCTCCAATACCTAACCTGCAGCTAATAAACCGACAAAATGTCATCCTACAGTCAAGGTAGTTTTTAGTGTGCAAATTCCACATTTGCTCGCTATGATCGTCATCAAAAGCGTCCATCTATGAAGGAATCACTCAACGACACGACACGCTCAAGCATGCATTATTGAGATTGAGTAGCAAGATCGCATCTGGATGATTATGTGTATAGGTCTGCATGTGTATAAAATCAGTTATATTTGCTATATGAAACAAATTATTACTGAATATGCTTCCAATGAAGTATATCTATCATCTGTTCCCGACGGGCTATTTATATGTTGTCCTTTCTGAATGCATGTATGTTGTCCTTTCTGAATACATGTTGTGTTCAAAGTTATAAATTATGATTATGCTCTCTTGTAGCAGGCGCGGAATGAACTATTTGAGTCAACATTCTATCGGTTTTTTTTACGTAGAAAATGGCATAATGTCAAAAGATACGACATAGTGTCACTATTCTAATTACGTAAAACCCCGCCGTGCTGCTCTTCAGACAAAAATTTGGATGTGTTGAAAATTGTGGAATGGAGATTGTGGGAGGTGAATGTCTTGTTAGTGACAGACATTCTATTAAAAATAAGTTTCTGATTCCCGTAATATTACGTTTTATTACTCAATAATATTCGATACATTTTCCATTGAAAGATAAATATAATTTATTTTCGCATTTACAAATATGGTGAAGGTGGGAGTATCCTCTGAGCCGGCGTAGAGGGCGGTTCGTATCGGCCAACGTTGGATCAGGTTGCAACCGGTGCAGGAACTCCAGCTAGATTCCTTCATCAATTCTTAATTTATTGCACGCATCATTAGTCGATTGGCAAAAGTTTCAAGTTTATTAGTACTGATTTGTATCAAATATGTAAATAGTTGGTGTTCTACAGATGGTTTAGAGCCAGACAACTCCTAATATACATACTGGCGAATAGCATAAGAATTTGCTGCTACCATAATTATCGAAAAAGGTAAATATGGTGAAGGCTATAAATTGATCCCTCTTACTTGTTATATGATATTCCAAAAGAAAAACTTGTAAATAAAAGTTATTGATTTAATATGCGGTTTTTCATGTAATATTTTTTTGCATAAAGGGTGTGGTGTCTCAGAAAAGTGCTGTCAAAAAACTTCGGTGAAAATTACAGTCCTCTTTTTTCTGATTCAAAATGTATGTGCTTTATCATACTTATTTACATTAATTTGGCGAATCCGACTTCAAACCAGTTTGCATCTAGCCGCCTATGCACTCTAGTATAGGGCCAGAATACATATAACTAAATCACACACACACTTCAAGTTTTTGACTAAAGTAATAAAAGTAAGTTCAACAAATCATATACAGGGTGTAAACATTATTTAAATGGGTGATAGAGGGGGTTAAAAGAAGCAAAAAGTTTCATATAACATGGGGGTCAAAACGGCATGTTTTTAGAGAAAAGCGACTTTAAAGTAAAATAAAATCTGACAACGCCGCAATGCCAGACGCAAATTACGACGGAAGGCAGTGTAAATAAAGATGGAGTTTGTTGTTCTTGGCTCTTAGGTATTATTTCATTATGTGATAATGTACTCGTAAAATACAAACAATTAAAAAAACGGACTTACCACTAACTGACTCAGCGCTTCACCTGGTGTGTGAAAGTTTATTGAACGTATTAAAAAATCCACTTATAAATAGGGAACACAATTTTGATACATACATTGTTTTCCTTTTTAAAACCCACACTACACTTTTTTGTATTTAAGGAAGGTATTCAAAATGTCGCCCTCCACTTTCCACACAAGCTTCATTACGACGAACCCAGTTTCTTCTTACTCTAGGTCCTCGAAGTTGTCCATTTATTATTTCAGCCGCATTCAAAATTTTTTCGCAAAGTTTTGCTTCGGTTGTTGTTGGACCAGCCCCCTAAGCCATCCCTTTACGTACTCCTCAATACCAGAAATCCATCGGATTGAGAACAGGAGATCTTGCTGGCCATTTTCGAGGATCAGGAGCATTTCGACCGATCCAGCGATTTGGTTAATGCTCATTCAAATACTGAATGACGCCTCTAAAAATGAGTGGTGGTGCCCCGTCATGAAGAAACGACAAATTCTGTCTCCGTTGTAATGACATGTTGTCTAAGGTCTGAAAGCTAAGGTATCCTTCTCCTGGCAAGTTTGGGTGTAACTCGGAAGGGCCCATTGCCTGAATACCCGCCCAATATTATAAAAATTAAAATTTGTTCCTCCAGCTCTACAGTAACCTGTCTTTCACGAGTGCGAATATTAGTGGGCTGAACACTTCCTGTATCTCGAAGTCTTTGGTACACTTGCACAAATGTCCTTCTGTCTGGGTGTACCCGTTGGCGAAATATGTCGCAAACAATTTGAGCTGCAGGATTTGAATTCTGACTTGTAAAAATAAGCAGGACGACGTACGCGCACAAAAACAAAACAACATACTAACCACTGTTACCGTTTGCGATCGATTGCCGGTTCGATAAGAGTGATGTAAAACCGACGCGCTGTTGTCGTGTGAATTTTTAATATTTAATTTAATGAAACTTACTTACTTACTGACTACAAATTTTGGCATAACTTAGAAAAACTTAATGTCATTTATTTGTTAATTACCCAATTTAAAAACGTTTCAGATTAGATTATAAAAATTAGTAAAATTGTGGTGATTGTGGTCGATATAAATCACTTAAAGTTGTAATCTATAAAGCCATTTAGACAAAAATCTATTGACTCTTGGACCATGGGTCATATGAACTTTCTGACTTATTTTGACCCCCTATTACCCATTTCAATAATGACGTTTACACCCTGTATATTTGAAATAAGAAAAAATGTTTGCGGAAAATATACAAGCTGTTTGTTCTACTTGAAAAAATAAAACTTTATACGATATACGAAAATTATTACATGAGAAACTGCATATTAGACCCCATAACTTCTCTATACAACGTTTACCTATAGAATATCATATAAAGAAGTCAGGACACCCTGTTAATGAAAAAATTCTTTCAGAAATAATTTTTAGAAAAGTGAACATACCTAATTAAATTTCAATATCATTTGAGTCTTTTGAATGGAACTTGACCCAATTTTTTTTTTGTATACATGTGCAACTATCTTCTAAGATGAGCTAATTTGTACATGCCGTCCTATACAGGGTGACTTCGAAGTTGAGTCATTTATTTTAACAGTGAGTAGATCTGATCAAAAGAAATGTTTTTTTCCTTTAACATTTTTCTGTTAAAATTAAATTAACAAAGTTATAGCCCTTTAGAAGTTTGAGTACCGCCCTGTCTCAATAATAATATTATGTGCTCGTGTTTGGCAACAACGGATATAATCCGCCTTATCGGTTCATCGCATCGGAAATAAAAAAGCGAAAGAATTTGAAACGTTTATCACGATGTCAGTCTGTTTCAGTCGGCAACGCGTGAGTGAATAGTGGTGTTTGTTGCGTGGCTCAAACGAAATAAAAAATGGCACATGTTTACGAAAATGCTGAACTTGTGGACATTCTTATTTAATCGAGTGCAACCAATCCCTCGTGCCTTTGTTAATGTAGTACAAAGGGCTCGTGAATCAGGTGACTTAAGACCTCACAGGGGATGGCATGCCGGTGCTCCAAGACCGCACGAACAAATACAGGTCCGCACTGAAATACTTGTCGGGAGGATACTTTATAAAACAAGGTAACATTTTTTTTTATTTTTACACACATATTTTGGTTTATCTTCCTTCTACAATCATTATCTGAAAATTAATGACTCAACTTCAAAGTGACCCTGTATAAGAAAAAAAAACAATTTGTTAGAAATCTACTTACTCCATGGAGCTTGATTCTGAATGTCTCATGCAATTGCTTTGGTTGATTTTTGTGAATCACAGTTCATATGGCGTCAGGTTTCGGGATAAATGGTACATAACTGATGGCACAATTGCGGGAAAGGTACACAGTAAATACACCTGATGCATTTTTTTGGAGTACACGCGTCTTCAAAGCAATGGCGTACAATAAGCTATGCTACTTCCTTTGATTCCGATACTTGACCATTGAACTATCCTGGGCGAAATGATCCGAATCGTCTGGCATTTCGGATTCAGAAACATTGAGTCCTTTTTAACAGATCAGCAGGATATTGTAAAATATAAAAAAAGCAGAGAAAACTTACCCATGTAGGAGCGCGGGGTCGGCGTGCGATTTTAGATGTTCCAGTTCGCGTCCATTTTATCAAATCCTCTTCGATTGGATTCCAGGGAAAGATGTTAGCTAAAATAATTGCATCTAATTACTAAACCAAACTGGTATATGTATAATTTCAACCAGAGATATACTAATTGATACCATATTTATAACGGTGTGATCTTTTTGTATAGCTAGAACTGAAAACGACAACTTAAATGGTGGAACCACATTTATCGGATATTGAACACAACCTTCTATGGTGCCCTGTGAAGATCTAAAGATAGAGACCAGTCAAGATAATTGATTAACTCTCTTTGATATAATGACCCTCAGATATTAAGAAAACAATAGAAGAGAGAGTATGAAATGTTGCTTGAATATATATATGATGATACATGTTTAAAATATTGTTTACTGATGACGACGTTTCGGCCACAACGGTGGCCTTTTTCAAGTACAATTTGATCACTTCAAACATAATGTGGTTTTATTTAGCGGCCAAACAAACATGGAGGATTATTAGCATGAAAACTGTAGGGTGAGTTTCGGGTGTTACATTAGCCATGTTTATTCATTCAACAACAAAAAATTATAGATGACATATCTAAAAATTATTTGTGAAAGTTTTGGCATTAAATTTATTTGGGATATTTTCGGTACAGTTAAACAGGAAAAAGACAAATTGGGAATGACTGGTACGGTTGAATCATCGTGGTAAACACCGGTCTGACCCCTCGTTTGTGGACAACAGCTTATCCTTACTAGTAGAGTACATCAGAACAGAGTGAAGTTCAACAGATTTCTAATTTTATTTATTGTAATGGGCTTATAGTACGGTGTATTGAAAAGTCAACAGGTATATTTATTTTTTGTGGTTTTTTATTTTCAAAATTTCCGTTTTGTATGCAGCTATTCAGAATATACTAATAATAATATATAAGTATATACGTAATTCATATACTAGCTAGTAGATTTCTTTAAATTGAACAGAAAAGCTTCTGTAATCCTATGTATTTTACGGCTACGTTACTAATGTATTCAAGTAAATTTCATTCAATACATACATTATTAATTTATATTAAATTGCTCGACTGATTCAGATCTGTGAATCGATGGTATACATTAAGGGAATTAATTAGAATAGGTAATAGGCGACCCTGAGACGGTGCTAATAAAATTTAACTCGGATCCACCGAGCTCAGCTAAGGATGGCTCTGGTCTTTGTGAGTATGACCAAGGGACTTTTAGAACAAACAAAACAATTTTCCACCTGCTTCTGGATTAGCAATTTTAAAATATGTAGCTAAAAAAGTAATCCTAATGATAAAGCCCACAGAAATAGAAAGATGTTGAATGTTCCTAGATCGCCATAGTTTTATCTGTTGAGGATAATAAAAAGTAATAAAGTTCACAGACTTTGATTCATATAAATTTAAATATATTCTTTTATTTTGGTTGTAAATATGCTTCATCACAGTCTGTGGGATTTTCTGTTTGTCTCGGGTCCTGATGAATAAATTTAGGATGATCCAGGGGTCGTCTCACATTAAAGATTAATTATATACTCAATTAAATTGCTCGTTTACATTCAAGAAAGGCCATTGATCACAATCATAAAGAGACCAGTTAAACTCTGAAATACCTTGTTACAATTTTATAGCGGCGCCCCTGGAATAATTGAGCAGGAAACAACCATTAAAGAATAGGGGAGACCGAGGAGGGTTGAAACATAGGTAAGTTGAAACAACAGAATTTTTGTGGACACCAAAGACGTTATGGAGCTGGCAACAACGCTTATTTGCCTCTGCTGCCACCTGCACACAAGTGAAGGTTTCGTTATCGCTCTCCAGTCCACGCTTACATCGTTATCAAATGTGAAAATTTAACAAAAGTAAGTTTTTGTCATATTTTAACTTTATCAATATTTTGATTTATATACTGTTTTATTACAATGTGTTGTATGTTTTCTGAAAGCTTAATCATTCAAGATTCAGTCTGTAGCAATGTTTTTGTAACACTGTATTGCACAACGAGGTAACACCGGCTCAACCATAATGGCGGCAGATTTTTGTACTCCAGGAGAGTTGAAACAGCCTGTTTCAACTTACCTCGTTTGCGTTCAATTTTGCAATTGACTTTTTATATACGTTTTTGAATTTTATCAGTATGCCTGAAGTCTGTCTTATGCTCTTTTTGTTTTAGGATGCCGAACGAATACAAGCGAAAGACGAATCGGGGTATGGCAAGCAAAGAAATTTACGAACTGGCTTCCGAAGAAGTGATGCTACGTAATAAATCTCTTCGTGATGCTGCCACAAGTTATGATATAATCCATACGTCGCTTTACAGATACATTAAGAAAAAACAAGCGTATGAGAGCAATAAGACCATCCAACCACCCTCAATTGAATATCATCGCCCCACAGTGTTTACCAAAGAAGAAGAAAAATCATTGTGTGACTATTTGACCTGCTCTGATGCCAATTTTGGGTTGAGTACAAAAGAAGCAAGAAAACTTGCGTATAAGCTTGCTGTGGCATATGACAAAAAGTGCCCTTCTTCTTGGATGCAAACCAAAATGGCTGGTGAAGTTTGGCTCAGATTGTTCATGAAACGCCACGAAGTTTTGTCTTTGAGACTTCCACAAGCGACAAGTATTGCTCGAGCGACAAGTTTCAATAGAACCAACGTGGAGCTATTTTTAAAAAAATATTATTCGATACTTGACAAATATCATATGGAAGCAAGAGACATCTGAAATGTTGATGAAACAGGCATAACTACTGTCCAAAAGCCTGATCGTGTCATTGCACGACGAGGTCAAAAGCAAGTCAGCGCCATGACGTCTGCAGAAAGAAGTAGTTTAGTCACTCTAGCATTAGCTGGTAATGCTATAGGTAATTGCATTCCACCAATGCTCATATTTCCCCGTAAGAGTTTTAACGACCACTTTATTCGTGATGGTCCAAGTGGGTCCATTGGAACAGCCAATGGTTCTGGATGGATGCAAGAAGATGATTTTTATTGCTTTATAGAGCACTTCAAGAATCACGTCCGATCTTCCAAAGAAAATCCGGTTTTGTTATTACTAGATAATCATGCTTCGCATACCGCTGTCAAAAACATCAACTTTTGCAAGGAAAATGGAATCGTTCTGTTGACGTTTCCACCACATTGCACGCACAAACTTCAGCCTATGGACCGAGCTATCTTTGGCCCTGTAAAAAAAGCAATCAATACAACTTGCGATAACTGGATGCGTTCACACCCAGGAAAAAGTAATGACAATATATGACATTCCAGGAGTTGTCAAAACTGCCTTTGATATACCAATCACCATAAAAAATGTAACTGCAGGATTCCGGACGACCGGGATATGGCCATTGAACACTGAAATATTTCGTGAAGAGGAGTTTTTGCCCAGTCAGGTGACCGATCGAGCACTGCCACCAACAGTACTTGTACACGAAGATTCCGTTGTTCAAACTGATGATCCTGAAGTTCCAAGGACCAGCAGAGAAGCCTAACGAACTCCAAGCCCACCGATCAATGATTCACTCTATTATAAACCTACTGTTTCTAATACAATGCAAATGCAGAAGTATCATGCACTCCCACAATTTTGTCTTCAAATCAAGACGATGCTCCTACCCCTGATTCACTTTATCCTGTGCCATCAACTTCGAAGGTATATACGAGTATTACGTCGGCAGCCATTAGTGAGGTTTCTTCAACTTCAAATACATCTACTGTAACTACTGCAGTCAGTGTATTTTCTCCGGAAGCAATAAGACCTCTACCGAAGGCAGAGGCTAGGAAGAATACGCAAAAAAGGAGAAAGATAAAGTCAGCTATATTAACTGACACTCCTGTAAAAAATGAGCTAGAAGACATTGAAGCTAGGAGAAACACCAAAAAAGTAAAAAGACCTGCGTTAAACCTAGAAAATAAAACTAAGAAATCCGTTAGCAAAACAAGGAAGAATTGTAAGAATAAAGGAAAAATAAGTGAGAAAGAAAGTAGTGACAGTGACGATAATAACTGCTTCTGCGTAGTTTGTATGGAGCCGTTTTCCCAAAGTGTCCCAAAGGAAGAATGGATTCAGTGTATAGAATGCAAGTCATGGGCTCATTTGGCCTGTAGAAAAGGCGACTTGTTCTACGTGTGCCATAATTGCTTCTCTGAATAGGATTTTCTTTGTTCTTTGTTGCGCTTATTATTCTTTTTTATTTTATTTTATATTTTATGTTGTTTTTTATTTTAAGATCTCAATGTTGTCATCACTGACAAATAAGGTACATTTTAGTTCAGGAACTTCAATATATTACTAACTCATAAGCTGCTTTCTTAAAAAAAGAAACCTTCCAAATACTTGTGTTCCAACTCTCCTAGGTCACCGTTTCAATTTACCTCAGCAAGAGGAGAATTGCAACAAAATTAATGGTCGACTTATAATCGATTTTTTTGAAAATGAAGTAGACCGTTTGACTACTCATTAGCCAAGTAAGCAAGGTTTCATATGGTATATTAAACTTTGTAGGCTACCACTTATTTATGAAGTTATGTGCCATTATGTGAAAATTGTTTCAACTCTCCTCGGTCTCCCCTACATCACTTCACACCTGCTTTCAATTCAGATACGCAGTTTAATTCAAGTCAGGCAAGTAGTTTAAGAGAAATCAAAAATGTGTGTATTAAAAAAACATGTATCTTAGTAACGAAGCTGTAACATACATAATTTTACATGTTCAGATGTATAACCGCATTTATAGACAATGGAAATTAAGAAAATTGAAAACCAAAAAGCGCAAAAAAATTATGTAGATCTTTAATACACAATGTAATAAACGCATTTCAGTAAAAATCTCAACAAAAGTCTATTCATTCTAAGTTTCGAGGTTTTTATGTTTCTACCTAACGGACCACTATCATATTGATTTTGACGTACTTTTTTCGAATGTCTACACTTATCATTTCAACCTGGTATTTTCAGTCCTTCACCATATTCTAGACTTCTGACTGGAAATCATTATTCGATAACAAAAACGTTGTGTGTTGTATTTTGATGCGTATCATTAGTATAT